CTACGTAAAAAGGTGCTTTGGAAATGTTTTCATAGAAATACAAAATTTTCCATAGCAAAAAAGTTACAGCGATTTGTTAAAAATGCACATTTTTGAAAAACACCCCGTAACTCCGAAACGGTAACAGATATTGATGTGCGGTTTTCACCATCATGTTTTTGATGAAAATTGAACTCCAGATACCGATATTAGTTTTCGTCTATCTCCTATAGAAAAGAGTGTTTCCATTTAAAAGCGTCGAATTTGACCCACCCTGTACATAAATATTTCTTCATTTTCTTTTCTGTACAAACGAGTGGGAGTAGCGAAAACACAGATTAACAATTTTAAGATAAAGATGATTTTTTCATATAGATAACATACAACAAAAAACCGTATACCGGATGCGTCTCAAAAGTGGCTCACCCCCATATCTTTTTTATTTTTTCAGATAAAAAAACGATATTTGGTATGTTAGTATATGACATAAATTAGGACTGATTGACGTATTCAATTGTTTTTGGTCACTTCCTGTTTCACCGGAAATGACTACAATTTTTGATTTTTAAATGACACCCTCGGTATTTTTTTGCTTTATTCAATAGAAAATGACACTCTGAGTAGAATGACATATCATATGTCAACTTTTGACATTTTCGCATATGGTTAATTTGAAATTGTAACATGCGGTTTATAATGACAATTATGTATTTGACTCGAAATACCAAGTGTGTGGTACCAAATTATTCGTAAAAAATGCCTTTTCCAAATATACTAATGAGCCACCCTGGTTCCATTTGAAAAAATTAAGATATGATTAAAATATGATTTGGGCATCTTTAAACTGACCAGGACAAGATACGAAAAGTATTAGACAATCAAATCTATTTTTCCAAGGCAAAAATTAGTGTTTTTAACAGAGCCATGGTACTATAGATTGAAATTTAAAATACGATTTTTTTTAATAAAAAATGTTAAACGTTGACATATGATATGTCATTCTGTTCAGAATGTCATTTTCTATCCAATAAAGTAAAAATATACTGAGGGTGCCATTTAAAAATTAAAAGTTGTAGTAATTTCCGCTGAAACAGGAAGTGACCAAAAACAATTGAATACGTGAATCAATACTAATTTATGTCATATACTAACATACTAAATCTAGTTTTTTTTTATCTGAAAAATAAAAAAGTTATAGGGGTGAGCCACTTTTGAGACGCACCCGGTATAATGTTCAAGATTAAATTTGCTTTAAAATTATACATATATTAAATACGGGACTGTGCAGAATCAGACAATCACAAACTGTCTGCCTTATGGTAACTTCCCGGCCGGACACTGGCAAGCACTGTCCGACTACTGACAAAACAGCACTTTTATCACTTAAAAAAATAATTAAAATAATTGGTAGGTTTATGAAAAAAACTGTTATATTTAACATGAAGCCCAATAACCACACTATCTATTTCATAAAATTTCATTACTATGCCACCAATAAAGAAAATTTAATCAACAATTTAAACTCTTTCTAAACTGTCCGACCACTATACAATAGCATATTCACCCTAGCATACATTTAAAAAAAATTAAATAGATGTATAGGGTAATCCAAATATAAAACTTTCAGCACATTTAGAGCTCTATTCTAAAATAATCAAAGAATCAATGAGATTTGTACAAAATCTGACAGCTGCCAATTTTAAATTTAGTACAACTATTCTCTTTGGTTCTTTGACGTATCACTCAGTGTCGTCAGCGACAAAATCAAAGTTTGATTTTTGATATGGGAATTTTATGTCAAGCATTCCATTTAAAAATAGAAATTTTGTGTAAAAATTTATTTGAATCACCATTATATCTATAAATATTTTTTAAAATGAGTTTTACTATTGATATGAAGCTTTTTACAACACTGGGTCACATTGTAAACTTTAATTTTTCATACTATTATGAAAATTAATTAAAATCTCCTATGTCTTTAATATTTAAATTATTAATAGTAACGTATTTCTTGAAATAACTTAAGTCTATACCACCACAAATTATTAAGTACTAATATAGACAATTATTTCTCATAAAATGTTCTATTGAAATTATACAAAAACATTACCTATTTACATGTTCTTCCAAATCATTAGGATTATTACTTGTATAATTACACATAGGACATTGTAAAATTTGCGAAGAACTTTTCAACTTTAGAGCTAAATTAGAACGCAATGGAGATCCCTGACCATGGCTAGAATTTTGAGGACTTATCTCTCCACCGCCATTTACCTGTAAGTTATAGAGTTTTAGTTGCTAAAAGCTACATCTAAAGGAAAATGTAAATATTTGTTTTTATTACTTTTGGGCTCAAATTTATGTTTGAAACGCTGACTTTACTTTCCGGTCTATCTTTATTTGAATACGTTCCTGGATTATTCCAGTGTTGTTCTTCAGTAAACCCATTCAATTCACTATAAATTGCTTATTAGTCTAAAACACTGAATATAACACGCTTATCTATGTTACCTAGGACTAGTATCATCAATAAAGCTTATATTCTGTTCAGATTCGGGCGTTAAAAAGTCTAAATGAGCTTGGTTTACGTGGATAATAAGCTCTGCAGGGCTCACTGCAGTCAGTTCGCAAAAAGGGCAAACACCACAACCTTCTACATGGGCGGTATGCGTATGAACTCGAAGTTCGTCCTCGCTAAGACCATCTAATCCGCAAATTTCACAGCAATAGTTAAAATCTGGAATATTGCTAGCCATTTTCTGATATTTGAGGTTAATTTAATAGAATCGAAAGAGCGTGTCACTGAAACATACAAAAGTAATTTGATACATTCTGTTAGATTATACACTTAATATTTAAGTTTATTTGTGGGTTTTAAAATTTTTTAAAAGGAAATATAACAAAAGAACTAAATCTGACATTTCTATTGACCTATTTTGTTTGACAGCTTTGACAGTCATTTGACACAATTTGTCACTTACCTTGTCCATAGAATTTTTAACTATTTAAAATACCCAAAATGACACTAGTTTTTTTTTTGTATGCAACTAGTTAAACGCTGTAATATATTTTGCATGGTAGATTAATGAAAAAATGCAATTTTCAAAAAGAATATGTGCTTGCTACGTATTGATGTGGAGTTGTGTATTCTGAAATGTTTTAAGTGACCTTCCTCACCTTTCAGTGATAATTCGGTATCGTTTGTTTGCCTTTTGTTTTTAAAACTTTTCATTAGTTAAATAGTATATTTTTTAATTATAAAAAAATGGGCGACACTAAGGAAATTAAACGCATTCCTAATTCTATAAAATTTTTGTTTGGAGGAAGTGCTGGGTAATTATTTTTTGTACAATAATACCTTATACATCATGCAAATTTAATTTCTAGTATGCTGGCAACTTGTTTTGTACAACCACTAGACTTATTGAAGAACCGTATGCAATTGAGTGGACAGGGAGGAACAGCTAAAGAACATAAAACCTCCTTACATTTACTGCAATCTATAGTGAGAAATGAGGGGCTTTCTACTTTATATACAGGCCTATCGGCCGGTCTTATGAGACAGGCAACTTATACAACTACACGATTAGGAATATACACTTGGTTATTTGAAAAATTCTCTAAAGATGGGACACCACCAAATTTTTTTACTAAAGCTGCCTTGGGTATGGCTTCGGGTGTATGTGGAGCTTTTGTAGGTAAGTACGGTGTTGAATATTCTTAGACTGATATATGGAGTTTAAAAATACCTCAAAATAATTAAAATAGTCATTTCATACAGATTTAATCTGTTTATTGACCTTATCTTGTCCTTTTTTTATAAAATTCTAATACATAAATCTACCTATATTTCAAGGTGATAAGTAGTAGAGATAGTGAATATTTTTTTCATTTGTGAGGTCACTTAAAACTTGATTCAAATTTGAACATTACATTACTCCAATATAATTTCTATAGGTATTGTCGGATTTAAACATATAATCCTGAATACCTTGTTGTAAACTTTTCATGTAATTTTAACTTAACATTTATATTTTTAGTTTTATTTGTTTTGCAAATGATTAAGCAAGAAAAATTTTATTATTTTTTTAATTATTTAATACCTTATCACTTTATAGAAGCAAATCTGAGATATTTTAAGAATAAAACTGTATATTTAACAAACTAATATTTATTTATATGTATTATTTATAGTGCTTTATGTAACAGCTTGTGTGTGTTCAGGGTAATCAAATTGTTTAAGGTCATTAACATGTTTTTTTTCATTAAGATTAGATAGATCAAATATATGACAGCCTGAAAAAAAAAATGATAAAGCTGATTAATGTAATAGGTATCCTATTACAATAATCAGCTTACAGAAATTTAATTTGTTTAAATAATGGAACATTATTTATCTTTTTTTTGCGCTTGTACCCATAGTTTATCCATATACAGGGTGTTGTTTATCATTATATTATAAACACGTGAACATGTTGAGAACCGTCGCGCCGCCGATCTTAAGCACTACCAATAATTGTACATTGTTGCCAAGTCGTTCAAAAGTTTGATCTTTATACAGGGTGTCCCAGAAATAAGTGCAGATATTTTAAGGGATGGTAGGTCTAATCAAAAGAAACATCTTTTCTCTTTAGTTTATTTAATTTTGAAAATTTAAAAAAATAATGGCAACATTTTGAGAACCGCTGGCGATAACCGGCTATTAAGGATTTTTCACGAGGTGTTGCCAGGTAGTCAAAAGAAGTATATATGCTATAATTAGTGAAATCTGAAATCCCTGGAATGAGTTGTGTTGTGTTGTACATTCGTATACGGTTTATTTGTCTGATTTTGTCGATGTTCCGAATAGTGAATTCCGATAAACTTGTCGATATTTTCTTTTATGTGATCTCAGTATGAATAATATGGTGAATTATTTTATTAAATTTAGTTCTAAATAAAGTTATTTTGCGGTATAACAATGATTTTCGTAAATCTCATAAGAATAATTTTACCCAGTTTAGTTCTCATTGAAAGGGGAAGTAGGTACAAGCAAAATATTTAAAAGAATGTTTTTTTTATTGAAACTATTTCGTAATATGGCAATGTGAAGAGTTATTTTCTAAGCATAGTTAAAAAGAAATATAAAAATGTGGTATGCGTAAAAATAATTAATGTGGTTTGTTTCTAGAATTGTTAGTAATAGACACTGATATGATTAGAATTAAATCTCGTAATTTTTTCTGTACAAATTTAAAAAATTACAGTGAAAACAAATAATATGCTGAATATATGGATAATGTAGAGGTGGCAATACTGCAAGGTTTAGATACACCTCAGGTACACCTTTAGATACACCTCAGAGAAATCTTAGGTTTAGTTACCATATTCCTCCGAAACGGCTTAACCGATTTTGAGGAAATTTTTTATGTATATTCAGTAGGTCTGAGAATAGGATATTATCTATTTTTTATACCCCTAAGTGACAAGGGTGGTCCACCCCAATTTTTTTTTGACAAAATTTTTTATTTTTAATTTTTTATGATGTGGAATTAAAAAATATATACCAAACCAAACCTAAATTTTCACCCTTCTACCATCAACCCCTATTTTTTAATAGCGATATTATAATAATTCAATAATTTTCAACCCCTTGAATAAAAATGACTGAGGTGGTCTGGTGTTTCCCCATTTTCCCCACAGAATCTGCATTTGCCGTTGTTTCTCAGCTTCAGCCTACTGAGGTGTTCGTTGAGGAGACAGTGTCCTGTTACATACATACATATACTGTTATTACTCGCTGACGAGTATTCGACACGCATCAAAAGATGGTCACGCGAGGCGTTTTCTTTTATGAGCTTTTCTGTGACTGAAAAGCCCGATACGTGATGTTATTTGCCTACCGCACTCCGGACATTCAAAAATCTCATTGCTTTGTTGCCTCTTTACTTTTTGGTTGTCGCTGTTAACTGAGTTTACAATTCTTCTCTATCGAGTTCTATTGTGAACTGCTTCTTCCCAATGATTCTGCATGTTAATCCCCTTTAAGTTTTCGTGGGAAATGTCCTTGTACCTTTTGAGTTGTCCACCCGGCCTCCTCTTACCGTCTACAAGGTCACCGTAAAGCAGAGATTTTGGTATGCGGTTTTCTTGCATTCTGCATACGTGACCAGCCCATCATAAGCGGGATTTTGTAACCATGACTTAATCAATACTTTCGCAGTTAGCTTTTTCAAGGACCGATACGTTTGAGACATGATGGAACCAACGGATTCTTAAGAGTTGTCTAAGGTGTCTCTGTTGCAACTTGTTTAATGCCTTCATGTGTCGGCGGTACGGCACCCAGGTTTCGCTCCCATATAACATGGTGGGGACTATAATTGCTCGGTACACTGCCAGTTTCGTTTTTGTACTCAAGTCATGATTGTAGAAAACGCCGTCTTTTAATTTCCAGAATGCTCTTGAGGCGCTGCTAATCCTGTGCTGAATTTCAGAGTCGATATTGGCCTTTTCCGAAATCAAACTGCCGAGGTAATTAAAACCTACATATTCCAATAGTTCCTCTCCGATTTTTACAGCATTGTTGGGTGGATCTTCCGGGGAGTGCAATACGATTTTGTGGCTCTTTGTCGATGTTTCTTAGCTTTAAGGCCCAAAGCCCTTGTATTACGTCTGGTGGCATATGTCTGTTTCACGTATTGTAATTTGTTGTAACGCGGTTGCACCAGGAGCGCAGCTCAGTCAGCGTACGAAGTTCCGTGCATGAAATTTTGTAATGCAGCTTTTGCCCTCAGTCTTTTATGTTGAACAAACCGCCGTCATATCTGTATCGCCCAAACTCTCCTGCAGTTTGCTGTCCACTATAAATAGAGAGAGCTGCCATGAATATGTTGAATAGAAGAGGCACAAAGACACATCCCCGCCCTAACTCCTGTTTTTGTCAGGAAGGGATCGCCCAGTGATCCATAATGACACTCTTGACCGGTTGTTTCGCGCGGAGGCTTCTTTACAATCTGTGTTGTTCGGTTGGCAATCTCGAACTCTTTCCCATAATTGCCCAAAGTGCATCTATCTCCGTTCACAGAGTCGAAGGCTATTTTTGTTGACTGATAAAGCAATTTCACGTAACTGAACCAGCAA